TTAGTTTTAGTTTAGTTTTTATTAGTTCTAATATTAGTTATTTTATAATTTGAATAAACATATTTGCCAATGCATCCTCCAGCTTGTGATTTTTCATTATAGTTTAGTTTTATTTCATTTTTTTGTATTAATTCAGTTAGTTTTAATGAGTTTTTACAGTGGATTTGATTGTATTTATTAGTTATTACATTTTTAATGCGTAGTTTTAGTTTAGTTTTTATTAGTTCTAGTATTAGTTATTTTATAGTTTGAATAAACATATTTGCCAATGCATCCTCCAGCTTGTGATGTTCCTGTGAGTTAACTAACCAACAGATATTTGGTCACTAGTTAAAGCGTCCATTATAGCAACACCTTCCTAAAATAATTGTGTAACTCAATTTAACCAACTGAGGACTTGGGTGATTATTTTAGGAYSATGATAATAGTTGTCTCCAACCTGCTGCTACCTGCTGATTGTTTTTCACAGGAGCTACTGAGAGAAGCTAGCGTGTCAAGATAGTCATAGTTAGCATCTTGTATGAGCTTGATTCATGAAGTTTTTCCCTTGAAGTATTTCACCTGTTTTATCACCTGTTTCCACTACAAGACACTTATTTTGATTTTTCTCGCAGTCATATTCAAAGAAATAACAAAGCGGACGTTGTTGCTTTCTCCCAACTTTTGTTGTTGTCATTTAGCAGGTGATGCTGAGCAGCAGATTGTAAACAAGTGTTGTTACGGCCCGCAGCTAATGTGAAAAAAAAGAAAAGAATTAAACACAAACTAAAAAAAAGTTTTAGTGAGTTTTATAAAAAGGTTATACAGTTTTAGTTATCCTTTTTTCATTTTATTACAGTTTTTTATATATTTTGGTTAACTAAAATGTTTGTAGTGAGTGCAAGCGGGGCTCGACAAAAGACACAAACAAGGGGACATCGAGCCCCACTTGCGCTCACTACATACACATAACACGACACCAAAGAACCACAGCCGAAGCATCCAAACCGATACGTCAGGTGATGGGGCACATGACCCTCTATGAACAATAGAGCTAATCAAGCCTATTGTTAAGCGATGGCCCTCTTTTGCATGTGACTAACCTGTTTGTCCAGGTGGAGGCAGTCTTATACGGCTGAGTTCACCTGAAACTCATCAGACAAGGGCTGTGTCTCAATTCAGGGGCTGGGTCCTCATGAGTGCGCATGGCCCTGTGATGGACTTGCGACCTGTCCAGGGTGTACCCCGCCCCTCGCACTGTGACTGCTGGATATGGGCACCAGTGACCCACGCAACCCTGAAAAGGAAGAAGCGTGTACAGAAAATGGAAAATGGATGGATGGATGGATGGATGGATGGATGGATGGATGGATGGATGGAT